AGGATGGGAAGGACCGCAAATACAAGACAGATGAGAAGGATGACAAGAAAGAGGAGAAGGATGGGAAGGACAAGAAGCACAAGACAGAGGAGAAGGAGCGCAAGAAAGGCGAGAAGGATGGGAAGGACCACAAGCACAAGAAGGATGATAAGGATCACAAGAAAGGCGAGAAGGAAGGGAAAGACAGCAAGAAGGACGACAAGAAAGCCGAAAAGAAACACGAGAAAGAGAAGTAAAAGGCAGCTGTCAACGCCAAGAAGTAGTCAAGCGAGGTCAAACACTGACCATCTACCTCACCTTCTTCATGAAAAAATATTCGCCTTGCGCTGTGCTTGTACTCAGTGAGATGGTGATGATGTGAGTGGTGATGGAGGTGATAATGATGATGATGGTGATGATGATGATGATGATGATGAAGAAAATGATGATGATACTGATGGTGATGGTGATGGTGATGCTGATGATGGTGGTGATCATGATGATGACAATGATGATGATGATAATGATGATGATGATGATGACAATGAAGATGATGATGATGATGATGGTGATGGTGATGGTGATGATGATGATGATGATTGTGATGATGCTTGCAGGAGTTAAGATGGGTTTGGCCCATGGCTGTTGAAAGTCAGTTACTGAGGCTTGGGCAGAGCCAACTACAAAGACTCTGTCATCAAGTTCTTCCTCGGCGCTGTGCTCAGTTGGGTCTCATGATGGCCACACATGTCCCCCGATGATCCAATGATCATTCCATAACGAGGATGCAATTTTCTTTCATAACTCAAGTATTTTGATGGTGGGGCTTCCAAACATGCACACTGCCCACCTAACAAAAAGAACCTCATCATGATCAGGTGCCATCACGGCGCCCTTGAATCCTTCAGTTGTGGGGCCTCAGCTACAAGCCATACAATTGGTGATGTGTGCCTTCATGACCGATGGGGGACAACCCAGATCAGTAAATAGACATGCTTACACATACTATATAAAAGTGAATGTTTTTCTAATGGAAACCAAGTGAAAGTGAATGTTCAGACTGTTCCAGATCGCCATTAAAGTACTGCGCATGTTTTGCCAGCAATCAACAGGGGCCATAAGATAAATCAAACCACTGTTGCTTGTTAATTACACAGTGGCAAAACCTTGATGTATCCAGGAATGAATTGGATGACAAACTGCATGACAATAAATCTCTGAAACCATTCTAGGACACAGTAACTGAACAGCCAAACCTTTGAACACAAACAAGGGTGTTGCTGTATTTAATCCAATATAGAAATATCCTTTGTGATAAAAATATGATGGGCAGAGTGCCATCACAGCACCCTGGCCCACCAGTGGCATCACACCACCCGACTTACCAGCAGAGTGTCATCACGGCACCCTGGCCCAATGATGCCATCACAGCATCATTAGGCTACCAGTGGCATCACGCCACCAGCACTGGCCAGTGCCATCACAGCACTGTCGCCTGTACTATGATACTTATGCCCCCACATGCCCTTTTCCTTCATAGTGGCTACCCAAAACGCTTTCCCAAAACCAACCAAAGATCATTTGTGTAGAATTGCGTACTCACACATGCCTCCCCCCTTCCCTAATTAAGGCTCAGACCAAAACGCCATGATCATGGGATGTTGTTTTCTTATGCAGCTGTGCTATGATGATGTCATGTGTGGTATCACTTTCAGACTTATATCAATCATGTCATGGTGTTTCAAAACTTGTTGAAATCATGTATTCTTTGAATTTATGTCCCGCCCTGCCCCCCCCGAAAAAAAGTGAGCTGGATGGCTACAGTGTGTTGTAACCTGAAACACTTTTGTATTTTGTTTGCGAAGAACTGGATTGTTGAAATCTCAAAAACCATTTACAAGTGTTGACTGATTTTCTGCTCATGGGTTGAAGGTTGAGGTTGTAATGGTAACTCCAGTGGTATCACACCACCAGCAGAAGGGCCCAAACAACTATACCTACCCACCCACCCCAATGCCATCACACCATCAGGGCCAGTGCCAGTGGCATCACACCACCAGCACAGGCTCATCAAAAAACAATCGTAGCGTTTCTTAAGAACAAGGGCGCATCAATACCAACAACATTGTTCAAGACATTGCAATGAATTTGTTCACCCAACTCTAGGTTTGGATCTAATTTCGGTGTATGTTGGGGTTTTACTTCGCCATAGCCAGCTTCACGAGCTTAACCAGAAGAACGTGCTGAAAGTAGCGCTTTGGGCTTACATAACATAGAAAAACAACCAGGATTTAAAAAAAATCCTTTATCAAGAACCCAGATTGTTCACCACTTCCAACGGATCTGACGTGGACTTCAAGCATGACTTCAAAGGCCCATCACTTTGACAGCCAAAGACAACCGTCGCAAGCATTGTGATCATCAAACGGGTTGTTTCTCCCAAAGTTCCGAAAATGGCTTTGTTGGCCATGGCGGCCCGGAATTTGACGTGGGTGTCCAGGTTGCACAAGAACACCAAGTCACTGGGCTTCAGGGTCAGCTGCTTTAGGAATTGGCCGAGGAAGTAGTTTTTCAAGTCCAGCTTCATGACAAACAGGTCGACCAACCCTTTCTGACGCACAGCTCCGCCCTGAGTTTGAGCCCACCAGCAGAAAAAACATCATATATCCTTTTTTGAACATTGATATAATTTAGACATTAAAAAAGTTATTATTGAGCAACACATGATTCACAACAAAAATTACTTTAGTTTGACATCAGCCAAGTTGCCAAGGACCGCACCGTGAAGTCTTTCGGTGAGCATTCGTTGGTCTTCATCAGGTCTGCCATGTTTGCCATGACCCAAAGCAGCTGCTCAGGCGACTTGGTCTTCTGCATGATCTGCCCGATGTTGGACATCACCCCCAACGGAGACAGCTTTCCGTACTCGGCATCCATGTCCAGCACCATGGTTCGCAGCTCTTGGTTGGAGAGGATGCGGTCATGGAATCGCAGAGCAGTCTCGACAAAGTTTTGGCTGACTGTCTCTGCGAGTGGAGATGCACATGCATGGACGTGGCGGCTCCATGCATTGTACAAGTCCACGCTGCTCATTTTCCCCTCCTTGGCCTCGATGTTGAGCTTGTACGTCAGCAGTTCATACGTTCTCTGGGTGGCTGAACGAGTCAGTGCGTCATACTCATCGATGATGTTGTTTCGCAAATTGACCTGGATAAAAACCAAAGCTCATTGTGCACATTGACATAGAGTGAACATTTGATTATTATATCAGTTACTATTACTATTATTTTAACTAAGAAGGCAAGAAACGCCACGGAAAAAAATCTTCTCCAACGTAGGCAACATCTCGAAGATCATGGATGTGCACAGTGCCACCCGCTTGTACTGCCTGAGATCAAGAAACAATGCCCAAAATCAAAGGCAAAAAAATGGCTGGGCACGGAACCATACCATCATCAACCAGCAAGCTGCTTCAACCAAACAGATTCAACCAGCAAGCTGGTCCAATCATCAACCAGCAAGCTGGTCCAATCATCAACCAGCAAGCTGGTTCAATCATCAACCAGCAAAACTGGTTGGCTCAATCATCAACCAGCAAGCTGGTCCAATCATCAACCAGCAAGCTGGTCTGGTTCAAAGCTGGACTACTTTACTTAACTCGAACAAGTTGCAACAGCACATCTTCCGATTCACCATTGGTGATGGCATCCTTCAGGGCGAACAAGTAGGCATGCTCTGGCTCTTCAGGGGAGACTCGGCGCAAGTTGCCCTTCGACACCGAGATGTCTTCGGCAACAGCAATGACAGTCGGGCGGTCAAAGAGAGCAGGTCCGTCTTTGAAGATCTTGGACTGCAGTCTTTTGACGGAGTCCCTGTTGATTGGCACCTTTGGCGCTGCGCTCCACTTGAAGTTGATCCAGAACAGGTTGCCAGCGGCATCATAGGTCCCAGCGGTCTGCATCGCAGCTTTGAAGACAGTCTCGACGAACACTGCCTGACCAGGGTGAACATTTAAGGGAAACAGAATGCAGAGAGTACTGCCACAAAACCTCCTGCTGTTGAGAGGCATGGGTGGATCCACCCCAGTGCTCTCAACAGCGCCGAGCGCTCGGCACTGTTGAGAGGAGGTTTTTCAGCAAGAAGGAGGTTTTTCACCCATGTCTCTCAACAGTTTCCTTCTTGCTGAAAAACCTCCTCTCAACAGTGCCGAGCGCTCGGCGCTGTTGAGAGCACTGGGGTGGATCCACCCATGTCTCTCAACAGTCCGAAGGTTTTGAACTGAGAAAACTAAGGGAATACAGAAACCTTCAGGGAATATAGAAACTATCTAAAAAAATGCATTTCCAATACCGGCCTTGTGGCCGGCAAGATGGCTCGCCACGCCTTCTTTGATACTCAGGGGCTCTTCAGTCATCACGTCTTTGAACAGGTGGTGGCCCAGGATGGTTGTCAGAGCTGAGTCTACATCTCGGTAGTGTTCCATGTTCACAGCATCGACATCGCAAGCATCTGGAGAAACAACCACATTGCCCGGCTGCGCAGCTGCTTTGCCTTTTGGAGCATGTGGCTTATTGGCCGCCTTTGCACAGCCGACCTTAGGAGGCATGGCAGTCAGACAGTCGCCACTACGTCGAGCGAGGATCTCAAACCTAATATGTTGCGGAGAGAGCATCGACGAATTAACTTTCATGTCTTCAATTTCAACAATTGAAAGCGGCAAGACCGCTACGCCAGTTAGTTGGCTATAGCGCACTCGTTGCTGGAACTGACACTGAATCTTGATGGAGCCCATACTGAAGCCAGCAAGCTGGCTGACTGAAAAAAATATGTTGGCATTGTAATGACGACACCTAGCCAGCAAGCTGGCTGGTTGACGAACACGACAGTGGCTGCAACGAGCAAGCTGGTTATCAAATAGCAACATCAAGTTTGAAAGTTTTTTGCGCGCGAAATTTGAAGGTTGAGCAAACTTCGCCGTGCAAATTTGAATTGATCAATGAGCAGCAATTAAGCCCCACTGCTCACATTTGGCAAAGGTCGCGTTTGGCAAAGGCCATGCGGCAGGCAAATGCAATGAAATCTCTCTTGGGAAAAATGTTTTTCTCCTTGGCTCGGGTGGCTTCACCGTCGGAGGCCAGTGCTATGGCACGCATTTTTGTTTTGTGATCCAGCCGGCAGTGTTGGTCAGCAAATGCCTCCCAAGAATCAAGGACATTCATCTTGGAACGTGGATGGGCCAAACAATGCCGCAAGACTTCGGCAACTCTTGGGTGAGCTTGTTTGAAAGCTTCACTCACATATGCTTTCCTGCTGATGTCTACAAATGGGGAGAAATGAATCGCCAAACCTCTCTCGCCGTCCGATTCAAAGTAGGGGACATCAACCACCAGACCTCCAAGGAGAGTAGCTGACCACAATACTTGTTCTTTTGGATTGCTTGGATCTGAGACCACCCAATTTTGGGCATCCCATGGGTGGATCATCACATTGTGCCTGGAGGCAGCGGTGACCTTGCGCAGCCAAGTGGTGTCCTCGAGGTGAAATTTGTTTCTCTGAATCGAACATTTTTTCGGCAGTAGTAGGTTTTGGTTTCTCTTTTCTTTGGCGACACGTTGTTGATCATTTTTTTCTTGTGTCGCACGTAACTTTAGGGCCACATCCACCAACTCCGGGTCGACCTCATCTTCCAGCAACGCGTTTTGCAGGTAGCGTTCCACCTTTGAGTCGTACTGTTTGTTTCTTTGAAACATCAGTTCTTTCGCCATATTCTCAGACCAAACTCCAGAAGAACCGTTTGTAGCAACGGCTTCCACACGATTGATATCGACCATTTCTGTAGATGCAGCTGTTTCTCGTCGCCTTTTCTTTTGCAAGGCGGTCACCGCCAAAGATTGTTTTTTCTTCATTTGGCCGTTTAACACCTTTATCCAGACGAGTCAAGCAACTCGTTCGAGCCTGGCCAAAGTACTTCTTCCAAATCTTTTGTGCTTCTTCACACAGTGAATCATGAGGCACGTTGTCTGGCAACAGCAAGAGTTGCATCTCATCGTTCTTGATTTCGTTGGACCTTGGGTTCAGGACTTGTCATGCCACTTCGGCAATCTCACATAACAAATTAAAACATTATTGTTCTATGTAACCGAGCTGCATATGTCTCCGCTGCTTGGCAATGCCCTCAGAAAGAGTTGAAAAATTTTGTTCGACGCCTGAAGAAGCCATGCCGTTCCACGCAGCATAGGCCGTGACAGCGCTGAACAGTGCGCTGTGCGTTTGTTTGTCGTTGCCATTGCGGCGACGTGCTTTGATTCTGAGCAAAGCTGTGCGCCAAGCTTCGAAGGAACTTTGTCGACCTGTGGATGCTTCATACATTGCCACGGGCTCGACTTCATCGAACTGATTGGCAAGTAAAGTAGCATCCAACTGCAACACCTGGGCCAAACGTTTGATGGATCGCTCTTTGAAACTGCAGTGAATGGCTTCGTCTCGTTGTACACCTCTTTTCTTCACAACATCAAAGACGCGAAAGGAATTTAACACATCGGCATCAGGAAATTCCGCCTTCAAAGTGTTCGTGGCCAGCACAACAAACGCTTGGCATTGTTCAGCGCAGCTTAGTAACATCGGGCAATCTACTCGATTCTTTCCTCCCAAAGTTTTTGGAACCCCTCTGACCTGATTCAAGCAGCATGGATCCACTGAAAAATATAAATGTTATTTCTTTTGGAATGTTGTGGGAAAATAATTCTAAAACATTGGGAAACCATTTTACCCACCAAGGCACCATGAACCCACGTGGGCGCTCCAATGCCTGAATCATATGAGCTGTGAATCCTTGGTGGAATATGTTGCCCTTGTTCACCAAATGGTGCATTTTTGACACCAGTGTCTCCACTTCTGCGGGGAATTCAGACAAGTCATAAGATTCCGTATCGACCATTCGCAACAGCTGGCTTGTTTCATCAGCTAGGTCGCTCATCATGGCCATGAGCACCAAGTCCTTTTCGTTCATGGCTTCCAGAAAGTCCAGCGCCGCAGCTTTGTCAGCTCCATCGCGCTGAGTGGACACCCAAACCAGAGTGGAGATGATAGCATCGAGGTAAACCACCATCCTTTGGAGTGGTTGTGTACAACTCGCGAAACGGTGCTTGGCTGCCTTTAAGTGTCGGATTCGTTTTTGCCATCCAGCATCCAGCTGCTGAGCGAAGCCACTAAAGACATCCTGGAGGACCTTCGAATGGTGAATCTTCTGAATGATCGAGTCCGATCCAAAGACATAAGCTTCGAGGACACCAGACATTGACCCAATTGCATCCCAAGGACGTTTTAGGACCCGCATGCATGCGTGAGCCCGGTCTTTCTGGCAAGAAATCACGTTGGGAAAAATCATTTTGCAGACTCTTCCTGCTCCTTGTTCATTGGCCGCAGCATCTGCGACAAACATTGTCACCTTCTGACAGACCGAGCGCTGCAAATCCCGGTCATCTTCGGGGTTGGGGCCACCATAGCCAACGCAACAAGCCTGCCGAACAGCTTCGTGCATCGCTTGGACAATGTTGGTGATGGTCTCTGAGTACTCAATGTTGGCACATCCAAGCACTCCTCTTCGCACAGAGAGGGCGGCGTCCACTGCACAGTACCGCATCAAAAGATCACCGTGCCGGCCATCCTGCATGACGCTCAAGGTTACAGCGTCCCTGAGCGCCTCTCGTGTTCTTGCTCGTGCTGCTTCGCCAAGGCAGAACTGCAAATTGCCGAGTTTTTCTTTGCCACATTTATTTGCAGAATCGCCCGAAGGCAGCAAACCAGATTGCAAAGAATCACGGCGCAGACGGTTGGCCAAAGCGTCTTTGAACATGGCAATTGAAGGACATCCATGTGAAGCCAACTCCTCGCAAGATCTTTTGGTGTCATAACCGGCTATCATCAAAGCTTTGTCATGGGCTGCTGACTGACCATGGCGTTTGATGTTGCTGATGAACGGAGTCCTGAGTTCAGATGATGGTAACATTAGATAAATTGAATTGAGGAAATTGTGCTTAAATTATTGTTGGCCATTGGCCATTGGGACAGAGAAAAATTAAAACATCATCCCATTAAAGGGTCAAGAAACTGCACCATGCCTTTCGAGAAATTGTTCTCCACATTTGCTTTTTGGCAGACAATGCAAGAAAGCCCAACAAAGTCGGATCCATCCTCATCTTCATGCTGGGTCAAGCATAGCCAGGATCCGATGATGTGCCCGCCCGACTTCAAGGTGGCCACCTGTCCCCATTCTTCTCGATTTCGCAAGTAGAGGCATCTCCAGCACCTGGTTGGATCAAAGCATTTCGAAACATGGTCTCTGTTTTCCTCTAGAGAAACAGGTCTGAGCAGCGGCTTCTCGACAGAAGATTTGGATGGTTTTTTTGCGATATTGTTCCTCCACCGTCGAGTTTTGTAAATTGTTTCAATTTTATCATCCTCGTGGACCTTCTGCGGTGTCGCAACACGGCCAAACCCAGGGATCATTGCAAATGATTTTTTAGTTTCAAATGATGTGAAGGCTGTTTGCAAATCATACCTGTGATACTTCATTTTTTTTTGGAAATGCGAAACATGAGTTGAAGTTGGCATCCGAAATGACTGGCATGCAATTGTAATAATTAATAACCGCAATCCAATGACAGTGACATATCTATTGTGCCAAAATGGCTTGGTCATTGTCGGTGTGAGATGATCTGTTGCTCCAAACAAATATAAATGCCAGCAAGCTGGCCAAACACTCAATCCAGGTCCAGCAAGCTGGCGTGATGAAACAAACAATTCTTACGGTTACGTGACCTCAGATTAGACATATTTTCCAGGTGGACCAGGGCAGCCTGAAAGTATGAAGGCAGATGTGTGGGGAAATCTCTGGTGTAGACAAACTCATCAACTTCAAGAACATCTCAGCCCATGTGTGCTGTGGCGGTGCCTTTCAAATGTCAATGTCAATCAATATGTTTTTTTACTAGGCAATCTTAGCCAGCAAGCTGGCCATCCCCCCGATATCCCAGCCAGCAAGCTGGCCCACAGCGCACTTTTTTTCCAGCCATCGACTTCAAGTTACTCAGTTGTGCCCTCTTCTCGGGCCCTCTTCTCGGCCAGCAAGTCGTCTCTTTCGTTTCTCAGTTGAGCAATGGCAACGTGGCATAAGTCAAGTTGTGCCCGTGTTTCCAGCCTCCTCCTGTGCTCCGTATTCATGAGGTTGATCAGCCTTTCATTTTCTTTCCGCAGCACATGACATTCCTTTTCCATCTCCCAGCGCGTCTTGAACTTCACATTGCCATCGGAGCCCCTGTTTTGGGCAGGCGGGCCATCAGGTTCCGGTGACGATGGGCCATTCGAGTACCAATCATAGTTTTTCTGAGGATCCTTCGGCCAGTAGTAGTCATCCTGGTAATGACGTGATGATTCTGATGGGTCTGCAGGCGTGCCGGCTGAGGCTGACGTCGACGACATGGCTGGCGATCTACCTTTAAAATTGAACCATCGACTGGCTGCCAATCATGATTCCATAAGACGATGCCAGTGTTAACAAGTATACACCTCAACCTCAGCCAGCGAGCTGGCTTTGCAACTGATATATTGAAGACCTCAGCCATCAAAATCACCTTGGTTAGGAATGTTGAACCCCAACCTCAGCCAGGCCAGCAAGCTGGCCATTTAATTGGGAACCAGCAAGCTGGCTGCAACAAGACTGAAACCAGCAAGCTGGTTTTTTGACAAACCGGTTTTCAAAACAACAATCATTTTTCACCAATTCCAGGTCCAGGCCGAAGTTTGGTACCATTCCGTGGCCGTCACTAAGTAAGAGCCTTGGAAGACGAGCACCTGCCACTGAGGCCCACAGCCTTTGACCATTCCATTGAAGACGAGCATTCCGTGGCCACATCATCTCATTGTCATGGCGGCGGCCTTGGCCGATTTTGATCATCCCTTTCCTGCTGTCTGCGCCGCTTCCTCCTTGTCTCCCTCTCTATCTTCAGGTCTCTTTGCCGCCTTTCCGCGGGTGTGCAGTTCGTCTTCTTGTACATCTGCACGGAGGGGTTGCTGGAAGGGTATCTTCCACTCGGCACCGATGGAGTAGGCGGCGCTTTTGGCATAGTGGGGGGCTCCGGCGCCGCAGCACTCGAGGAGGAAGCGCCTGACGAGGCCAACCAGCTGTACGGCGGCGGCGGCCCCGATGACTTGGGCAGAAGCCCTTGCCTGTGCAAAGCCAGTGCGGCCTGCGCCTCTTGCAGCTCGGCCTGAGTCTGCAGCAGCAGCCGCTGCATCGCGTCTAAGTGACGCGCACCTCCACCCTCTGCTGCTGCTGGCAGGGCGGTTGGCGCTTCCGTGGCGTCGCCATCAGCGCCGCCACCAGGATCGCCACCCTCAGGACCATCACCCACCTCCAACTCCACTGTTGGGCCTGGAGCGACATCCCCAAGCACCGTTGCCACTTCTGGATCTGCAGGCCCTGGTGGGAGGCAGCTCGGAGGCACCACTTCACACAGCAAGCGTGCTTCCCCGAGGTCCGGTGGCACTACGGTGGCAGTCTCCACCTCCTCCTCGCACTGCGTGACGTTGTCGTCCGCCGAATCCACCTCAGTCACGTTGTCATCTGTGGCCTCCTCGTCTTTGGCCGCGACCGCGTTCTCCATTGCATGGCTCGCAGCGCGGAAAACAAGATATGTATGTTATTGTATGTATGTATGTTATTGTATGTATGTATGTATGTATGTATGCATGCATGCATGTATGTATGTAGGTAGGTAGGTATGTATGTATGCATGCATGAATGATTTTTTGTTGAAATATTTAATCTTAGTTGAGTTGAACACTGTGAGTTGTCCTTGAAGGATAGGAATTTGGGACTGCAATATGTCGCCTGATGATTTCAGATTCAGCTGGGTGAGTCGTTGGACGTGCTTAATTGTTATCACTGGCTGAAATTTAAAAGAAATTGTTTCTTGGTCCTCACTATTAACAACTTGACTTGGAAAATTGCTACGTATGCCATGTTGAGACTCTGTCAGCCAGCGAGCTGGCTAGGATTTCACAACAGCAAACTTTTGAGGCAAGCAAGCTGGCCAGTGAATGACATTGAATACCCTTCCATTTCTTCAATAATATAATGTAGAAAAATTATACTGTCAAGTAACCAGCAAGCTGGCTAAGGGGGCCAGCCAGCTGGCCTGATTCAGTTCCGCTCACACATTTTCATCCTCCCATGGCATCATCCGTGAGCATATCCTTAATTAGGCCTTCTTGCCCTTCTTCTCCACTGCGGTCTTCTCCTTCTTCTCGGCCGGCGCCTTCGCCTTGTTCTTGGTGTCCTGCTTGGCCGCCTTTGTGAACTTCTTCTGGGCAGGCTTTTTCAGGGGCGGCTCCGGCATGGTGCCCTCTTGCACGAAGACAGGGCCTGGGCGGCTCTCACGTGCAAGAGCCTGCCAAGTTTCGACCACTTCATCATGACGGTACTGGATCTGGGTCAAAATCCAATCGTCCCCATTCTTCGCCTGAAAATCCAGTCAGAATCCAGTCGATGGGCGAATTCTTACTTTAACATTTATTGACAGAAAAAAATTGGGCCTGAAATTTGCCAAGATACTGTCCATCGAGTCCCCCATCGCTTCCTGAAGGTCTCATCTGTCATGTCCCAGCCGCGCGTGTTCGTCCTCACGCTGAAGGTGAACGGGTCGCTCGTCATTGCTTCACTGGGCGTAATTGGGCAATGATAGGACAGCGGCGGTGGCTTGAGATGATGCTGCAGCCAGCCCAGCAACATCACAAATGCACAACCAGCGCAACGATTATATGACTAGCTAAAACCAGACTGGTGTACATGAGGCAAGCAAGCTGGCCATGTCAAAGTGACTTATTATGTGTGGCCAGCAAGCTGGCCATGTCCATTACTTCCTTTTTCCCGCCGATATGACATGCAATAATTAGTCATTTTTTGGGGTGCCACTGTCAGCAGTACATGCCAGCAAGCTGGCTATATTGGGACCAGCAAGCTGGTCTTAAACTTGAAGCTGCTGAACCAACCCATTTTTCTCAATGAATTGGAACGGTTGGCCAGTGTCTAGCAGCTCCCTCAGGCAATAGCCAGCAAGCTGGCCTTGACCAGCAAACTGGCCTTGACCAGCAAGCTGGCCTTGACCAGCAAGCTGGCCTTGACCAGCAAGCTGGCCCTTGACAAATTCTGACACTTGAATTGAAAAATCGAAATTCTGCTGAAACATGCCTGGAATCACCTGCTCAGCCAGCCAGTTCTGTCGAAGAATGCGCGCTCTGTTTTCTTCAGCGTGTCTGGTGCCACCATGATTTTTAACACGATCTTGGCTCTGAGGATTTTTCAGTACGTCGTGGCTTTGGAATTTTTGATCCTGGCCAAAAACCTTATTTTTCTTCAGCATGGATGTTTCCAAGAATGGTTGTTTCTTTAGCATGGCTTCACTGGCATCTGATTTGGGCAATTTTCAGTGCATGTGATGCTTCTTCAGCATGGGAACATGCATGTTATGCTTCTGCAGCATGGGGCCATGCACGTGATGATGCTTCTTCAGCATGGGACAATGCAACATGATCCATTAATAACAAAGGCAATAATTTCATTATTATTAATTATTAGCCTAGTCCGTTTTTAATAAATGAAATCTATGATTTGGAGGTCTTAGATTTTGGAAAAATTAGACTGACTGAGGCAACTCACTTCTGATCATTTCTGATGGGGTGATTCAACGAATAGATTTTGACAGTGACAAAAAACCGGTATCTAACAAACTAGACTCATAGAATCACCAGTCATCCCCATCACATTATTTTAAACCACAGGTCATCGGTGAATTA